AGTATGTATGGACATTCGACAACAGGGATTAGATACATGCTTGGTTGTTTAAATTGTTCTTCTATGCTTAATGGGTTCCTAATGCTTAATTTTAGGTTAGACAACGAATGATCAAATTAGGGAATTAGGAACACAAGGTTAGGACCAAACACCATGGCCTAATCATACTTTAGCTAGAATCAATCTTTGAATCTGAATTAGACTTGTTACTTGAATCTTTATAACCCAGAATTGAATTGTTATGGTGATTCGAATGCCCTAGTCTCAAAATCTGTTTTCCAACTCTTAAAACCACTCTTTGTTACATTTGTTTACTTGTTTTTGTTTGCAATTTCATTTTGCTTCTTTTGTTCAACAATCACAACCACTCTTGTTTTAAATTCTGTTTTAGACATAACCTCCTACTTTCTTGAATTTGGTAATCTAAGTACATAACTAGTTTTAACTTCTCAGTCTTCGTGGGTACGACCTCGTACTTGTCTTGCTATACTACTAATTGCCCCGTACAATTGCGAGTTAACATAATATTAACAACAGTACGGCACCCCAGTGGTTGGCTCAAGTATTGTTCCGCATTTATTTTGTCGAGTTTTGGCTGGGAAGCTCCTTGCCGATACCCAGGGTATCACACATGATCGGGTCAGTACATGAGTGACCTAGCCCACTATGGCCACATGGTGTCCTGTAATAGGCTCGGCTCATAATGATGGTGTGATCCATTAACAACTACTAAAAATACCGAGACCTTTTGTGATAAAACCTCACACCTACTGGGCTTTATAGGTGGTTAAGTTGGAGACAATATCAGTGTTGTTAGTAGTGGGTCACTGGGCCGTCTCTTTGAATTTAACATGGTATTAGAGCGAGATTGATTAGGCCTGAATTACTAAGCCTTTACCCTTACCTCTTACCCAACATGTGGTGTTCACATGTTGGGCTTGAATGTTTACTCTTACCCAATATGTGGTGTTCACATGTGGCCTACTATGTGGTGGTCCTATTTGAGGGGGTATGTTAAAGAATATGAATAGAAACTTGACTAAATAAAATACAAAATATAATAAATAATTCTACGCCATTTGTGATAAAACCTCACACCTACTGGGCTTTATAGGTGGTTAAGTTGGAGAAAATATATATGTTGTTAGTAGTAGGCCGTTGGCCTGTCTCTCTGAATTTAACATGGTGGGTATTAGAGCCAGGTTTCAAGTGTTGGGCCCAATGGTCACGTGTGCTCCCACATCACTCAATATGTGTTGTCCACGTGTTAGGCGTGAAAGTTTGCCATAAAAAAATGTGCAAGGGCGTGTTGAAGAATATGAGTCCCACATTGGAAACTTGACTAAATAAATGACAAAATATAGTGAATAGTTCTACTACTAATAACACCGAGACCTTTTGTGATAAAACCCCACACTTAGGTGCCACATTGGCTCTTTAGAAGCTGCCCACGTATCCAACTCAAGAGTTCAGATAATGCCACGTTACTTCTTGGTTTCCAACACTCCTAGATCACCAAAAATTCATCCTAGCTCCAAAAAAATCTCTGAAAAATACTACAAACTCATAAACACTCATAAACACATGTAATTTTCTTTAATCACATCCAAAAATATTTTCTCCAAAATTTTACAAATAGTTTCTAATCACCATAAAATTTCTAGGGTCTCACAGTTGGGTAATACAAAGGTGGTTTAACAACCTCGTGAAGGTAACAGTGTGGCTCATGCTATGGCTTTATTTCTACTGAGGGAAGGTAATCAATTTTTTTGGGAAGGGGTGGGTCCGATATGGATTCAACCTTTACTAGGAAAAGATAGACAAGGGGTTTAGTTTTATTATATATTGCGGTGCTATAGTACTCTTTTTTCTTGACCGGATTTTCTCTATTGGAAGTTTTTATGACAAGGTTTTAATGAAGCGACTTTGTAGCCCCTAGAGAAGTTAGAAGCTTCGGATTTATTGATGTTTATTGATTCTATATGAATGAAAGTTGATAGAGAATAGTAAAACATTCAAAATACCAGAAAATGCCTTTGGT